TTCTAAATACACATTTTCCAAGTTTAAATGACTCTTTTTGAGGTTATGTTCAATCTTAGTACAATTTTCATAGATTCTTGACATCAAATGGTGATCTTTCAGACTTCAGTATAAGAATTGATGAACTATAATGCGAATTATTCACTAAATCCGTCATAGATTCGTTACATAACCTAGAAAAAAACAGATTTTTTTATTGATTCTGTATGAAAATCGAAGGAAATCTAAAGATTTGGCATAATTTGTCTGTAAAAGAAGCACTCTGAAAAGGAATATTGTAACTTCTACTGATCTGTACACCACTTCTGACTGTATTATCTCCCCCTTGCGGAAATGTTTCGCATAAAAAACACACAAATTCCTTCTGCATTCATCTCAAGAATCACAGTTTCCGTGTGTCGCGGACGCTTGTTTGGCTTGTGGCGCAGCATAGAGAGATTATTTTAAAATCAAAGGTCATCAAAATATGAGCATTTGCATAAGACCTCGTCTATTTGCCACTTTTCACCAGTCGCGCTATTTCGCAAAGTGAGCAAAATCGACCGATGAAGATTGTCGAATGAATCGCAGCTGGATAATGAGTGTATAATTTAGGGGAAATCCGGCGTGGCTTCGGGCAATCTTCCGCTCTTGATTAACCCAATTTCTTCTGCGTCTTACACCGGAGTGTGTCCTTCGTTCAACCCTTCTCCGAAGACGACAAACCAACCCCCTCCTCTCCACCCCAAAACTCAGCTCAACGCGCGATGCTGAGTTCATCAATTTCGGCCGTGTACACTTTATTGCTCTCAATAAAGCCCATGTCGGAGTAAATTGCGCGAAAAGTCTGCTCCAAGAAGTCTCTCTGGACTCAAAGGAGAAGTGCGAGTGTGTTTGTTATTACGTTTGATCGCGAACACGTTTTGTATTTCGATTAAACACGACAGATTTTTTTCTCTCCTTCTTCCACTTTTGCTCCAACATTTAATTCATTCGCGACATCACTTTTTATTTTCCTCCCGTTTTTCTGCGCTCTTCTCTTTGGACTGCTTTTCATCATCTCCTTGTACGCGCGCGACTTTTGTCGGTGGAAATCTCGTGCGCTGGTTTGCCTTCGGTTTTTCGGGCACAAACAAAAGAAGACAACCCAGGGTTGGGATGTTGTGTGTTCGCGCGATGAAATGAGGAAATATATAATAAATGTTCACGGGGGAATTTATTGCGATGCAAAAGGTCCGGTTTAGGGTTGAGCTCTCGATGTTTTATACTTCAGTAGCGGAGAAGCATATTTGTGTGTATGTGAAGTCTAATAAATGCAGCATTAAAGCGCAATAGTCGCACTTAATTGCGCGGAAAGAGATGTAAAACATACGTATTTATGATAAGGAGGAGCCACATATCGATAGAGTTGTTTAGAAAAGCCACTGGAAATGGTTTATAGATTTGCTGAGTTTACAGGAAAATTGTTGACAAGGGATTTATTGGAATTATCACAGAAAGTATTGAGAAAACAATAAAAATCATATTATTTGCATCAATCTAATCTCACGCTGAGTAAGAGAAAGATGTTGACAATTTACATTCATAGCTAATTGTGTTCCTTTTCTGCTTTAAATTAGATTAGATTGAAATAGATTTTATTCTTGAATTCCATTTTGTACGTCTTAGAAGTGTTGTTGTTCATAATTCTACACATTCTGATAATTTCTTGGTTTATTTCTTGTAGTTTTGACTAGATTAAATTGATTAGAACTCATTCAGATGATTTTTAAATATTTTTTAAGGGCGATTTGTAAGTTTATCTAATATTTAGAGCAATTCCCACTCAATCATAGGAATGTTAAACTTAGTTTTTCAAGCTAAAACAGAGTTTTATAGCTTTAGAGCGATTCTACATTGTGTAAAAGAAGAAAATTCGTGAAATTTGCCAGGAATTTCAAAATGCAAACTTTAAAATTAGTAAATTCACGATAAAAAGTATTTATCGCAAAATTCTTTTGTGTTTATGCTTGAAAATGAGAGACACAATCACAGATTGATCCATCTTTGCAAGATATTTGCAGATTTTTATCTGTCATTTTTAACATAATCGCAATTTTAAGCCTAACAAGTGTGTTTTTAACACTCCTTTTTGCCTGAGAATTGCTCTAATTGTTTATATCTTTAATTTTTTCAAGTCTCTTAGCTCCAATCTTTGTATTTGTCAATTATTTGAGTGATTCTGGATTCTTCATATTTTGTTTTTTGCCATTCTTTAGTTGAAGTTTTTTATGAAATTTGCAGATTTATCTGTTTTAATGTGACATTCATAAGGACTTTCCAATTTATTCGGGTTAATTGAATTTAGCAAAATGATAAATGTGGCGCCCCATCTCTTAATCTCTCAAAATGAGCAATCCATCATTGAGGATGGCAAACACGCCTTCGGCTTTTAGAGAAAGAGAGTGAAAATGTCGATTTGGACTGAAGAGGAATAAAATGTCACCAACAATATGCTGGGAATTGTTATCACAATCGGAAGTGGAGTTTAAAGGTCTGGCGGGAACACAATTCCAATTTCCAACCATCGAAATCGTCAATCGCAGCTCGGCTGAGTGCAATTTGGCGTAATGAGGAAGCGGAACTCGCTCTTATGGATGATCCTTGACACATAGCAAAAATCGATAGCCAACCGCATTGAGTACGCTTCCGACGGGCACGTTTATTAATTATTCAGGAGAATAAAGAGGCGCGCACGAAGCATTTTGTCAGGCGGCGGCAGAGGAAACTGTGTTTGGCGGCGACCACGTGGAATGCCTGCGAAATTGCGCCTCAATCTTTGCGCGCCAGTGGAAAGTGTTTGTGGCTTCATTAGGCGATTAGTAGCAATTAAAATCAATTTCATGAGTCGTTAAATATTGACTCTCGCGTGTGGAGAGCCCCGCGCAACACGGTAAACAATTCGAGGCGCGCACGGTTTTGATGGTTTGTATAAATTAATTCGCACTTGTATGCAAAACATCACCTTTCTCCGCACCGAAAAAGAAAACACAACAATTCGTCTCCGCGTGATACACTTTTCATCATCAACCATCAATCTATCTCCCCTTGAGCTTTTCCTCCGTTTTTCCCAGCTTGCCACCCACAACTGTGACGCTGTGGCGGTGAATTTAATCTTCCCATGCCATCGCAATTTCTCGTGCAATCGAGGCTGGAGTTGCGCAAAGGCGCATTCAAACGAGCACTAGAGGCTCTGGCAAGTGAAGAGAGCCACTCTTTGTACTGAATGGGGTGTAAAATTCAGTGGAATTTGCATGATGACAATTTTAAGGGTGCATCTGCACTTTTCCTCTGCGAGAAAAGTGGTTTTGAACACTGCGCGACATTCGCATAAAGCCGCAGTCCGTCAATTTAGCACAATGGAATAAATCAGTGTTTTGCCCGTCAAAAGGCAATTCTGTATTTGTCAAGGGGGAGATAGTATGCCTGAAATCTGTACACCACTTCTTAACGTTTTTAAACGCATTTTCCATAGCTTTTTCGACTTCTTCAACTGTTTCTCACACTCAACGCTGATTTATGCTTTGAAATCTTCTGATCAAGTTGTGAGGTTATGAATACGGATTACTTTACAACCCGAAAATGAATAAATAAAGTGAATCTCTGAATGTTTCTACTAGATAATCATGTTAAATTTGCCACTTTGAAGCAAAAAACCGCGGAAATAACTCAACAAAGAAGCATTTTTCTAGACTGAAATTAGATTTTTTGAGGTTATGATTGATTTTGAAGCTTTTTCTCAATCAATATGAAGTTTTTTCAATCGAAAATGCTCTATTTTGCGAAGAAAAAGAGAAATATCTGCAGCTTAAACACAAATTTGATGATTTTGAGGGTTATTTAATCAATCAAATAACCTAGAAATGCAATAAAATTGATTTCTTTTAAGCAAAATTAATTAAGAAATGCCTGAATTTGTTGAAATAGAAGGTTTTAAAATGCAAATATTCGACAATTTTACAATTTCCAATGCCTAACACTTTCTGATCATAATATTTTCCCCTTGTTATTCGTCAGTGAGGATGATTTGATAGTCAAGTATTTTTCAAACACACATAAATGAGGGGAAAGATTCTTGCCAAGATTCTTGCACAGTAAGAAAATTCTTCTGCTCCACTGGAATTATCTGTTCGTTGCTTTTCCATTCACGTTTTCAATTATTTTCCTTAACGGATATTTTGCTGCCAACTCATCTGCAGATTTATCAAGACAAATTGAAGAGAGACTCTTAAGAAATACTCAAGGAAATACATCTTATCAATTGAATGCATTGACAGTAATGAGTTTTCGGTTAGTTCCACCTTCCCAAATCACCTTCCAATTCCACATCTAATGCTCATTTCGTACATTCGGAAAACATTCTCCTCTTCACGGTTATATTTAACAAAAGCCAAACGTCTCGGGCGCGCAAAAAGTGTCCAAACAAGCTGCTCAAACAAGGAAGGAATGTTTTATTGAACACCGTTCATGTGACAGAGTGGATTTAGAGACGGTATTAAAATATGAATGAGCAATATTTGCCATATTTCACACAGTAATTTGCATTTTAATGGAGTGTGTCTCTGAAGGCGAAGCTCTGGATCATTTGATGGTGTAATTTATGGGAAAGTCATCAAAGATAAGGGACACTTCTTTTCCTGGGCAATATTGAGCATTGGAAATCATCTGTGTGTGTGGCCGGAAGACAAAGCGAATTTCAAATTCCCCACGAACAAAATACCATAAAGCACACGGATTTTTCAATTCCGCCAATTGTTCATGTTGTTAAAAGGCGAAAGAGATCTTCCGACAAATCAAATTTGACACGCTATTACTGTCGACCAATCATGGGAGGGGATTTCATTTGAGCGATCATGACTCATCACGAAGATAATCCATCTTCTTAAGGCCTCTAATGTGACTCCAATCCGTCAGGGAAATTGAGGTTCTCTATTTACTCTCTCTCTGGCTCTCGTTGCAGCCGCAAAAGGCATCGAAAGCCACGAGCGCCGCGGCGATGAAGGCTGATCCCACTTCTCGCCGCCAAGTGCGGGACTTCAACGGCTTAATCACCTGCTCAGTCTGTCAGGGGTACATCATAGAGGCTACCACTATCACTGAGTGTCTGCACACATGTAAGTCGTCTTGACAATCAAATGGCGCGCGGCAATCTCAACATCCCCGCCAAATCCCTCTCTCTCTCTCTTGCAGTCTGTCGCTCGTGCATCCTGAAGCACCTGGAGAAGAGCAATCTCTGCCCCACGTGCTTCCTGAAGCCCGTGACGGTAGCCAGTCTGCGGCCGGACAGAATCCTCAAGACGCTCATTTACAAGCTCGTGCCGGGCTTGTATCAGTCGGAGGTCCAGCGCGTGGCGGAGTTCCACGGCGGCGCCCTGGCGGGCAAGCTGTCCGCCGGCCGGAGGCGCTTCAGCGGCCTCGTGGGCATCCCGTCACCCGAGGGAAAGGCCTCACACGATGATGACATCAATCACAATATCAGCAGCAAGAAGAGCGAGTCTGAACACTCTGACGATGCGGACTTCTTTCATCCCGAGGAGCCCATCAGGTATGTTGAATACACAATAGTCTCAACTCCTCAACGCCGATGAAAAGCATCTAATTGCCTACACTGAGAAAAAATCCAAATTCTCGTAATTCTCACACAAATTCTCAAAGCCCAGAAACCTTTTTCCGCCATTTTTATTATAAAAATTACATTAATTTTTTCATTTTTATGAAATATGTGGGAAAAATATTTTTAATACATTTTTTAAGTAAGAAATTACAAATTAAAATCACGGAATTTCTAAATAAATTTAGTAAATCTAACTAATTTAGGCAATTGTTTTTTACAAATCTGTTAATTGTACCATAAAAATGGTGGGAAAACTCTGAGATCTCAACAGCAGCGCCATTTGCCATCTTGTGGCATCTGATTGAAGAAAATTTTATCTGTTATATTTATTAATTGCTTCTTTGTTGTGATGACAAAATTTGAATTTTTACCATTATTTATGGCAAGTTCAGCTTTAGAAAGAAAATTATTGTCATTTTCAAGGTTCGCGCTTTTCATAAAATATAGTATAATTCTTGTATGATAACTTTTTCATCATATTGTGAAATATTTCCCAAGTCTTTGTGGCAAATTTCCCAATTTCTCCATATAATATAGTAAGTTTTCACCCTGTGCACTGAATAATTGTCACATAAACGACTCCCTAAAAGCCTATATGGGAAAAATGGCCATGAATTTTCCTCAGTGTGGTTCTGCGAAGCATTTAAGTGAAGAGTCACAGAGTGTTAATGGTCTGATTTCGCTGCTCGCGCACAATGTCCGGGAGGGTGTTAACGGATGCGATGTTGTTGTTCTCGGCAGTTTGTCAATGGAGTATCACCCCGAGGCTGCGGTGACTCTGGGCGGCCAGAAGGCCTCCATTCCGCCCATCAGGTATCTGCAGTGCCCCGCCGCGGTGACCGTGTGGCACTTGCAGCGCTTCATCTCCACCAAGTTCGACCTGAAGCCCAGCCTGATGCTCGTGGAGATCATCTATGAGGATGAGATTCTGCCGCGAGACTTCAGTCTGATGGACGTGGCTTACTGCTACAACTGGAAGAGGGTGAGTTGATGAGCGCCCAAAGTTTTTCCACTCTTTCTGACTCTCTGGGGAAGAGGCATGACTTGAATTTTTGCGGCGGGAACGAAAGGATGAAAGAATTCTGACCATTTCTCTCTCCACCCATCGCTGCATATTTTTTTTTGCTCCTCTGTTTACACGATGTTTTTTCAGTCGGTGGGAATGAAATATTTATTTTTTCAAGCCATTGAATTTACAGTGAAATTTGTCTTGCGAATTGGGATGGTCATCGCGATGTTGCTAAGCGGCGAGGTTTCTTTTTTTTGCCACAAATTGATGATAAATAAGGTCATGCCGGGGCGATATCGCGGCAATGCCTCTCTTGTTTCGTTCTATTCTAATTAGACATAAACATAAAACCCTGCAGGTGGCCCCGATGCGATTTTACTATCGTATTTTTATGCAAACACCCGAGAAGAGTGGGACAACAGATAAAAATAGAAACTACATGACGAAGGCGGACGAGAAGAAGGAAGTGAAGGCTAAAATCGGCGCGGAAAAGAAGATGGAAGATGTGAAGAAGGGCAAGGAGGCCAGTGGTGGAGTCATGAAGACATTTCTTGCCACCACTGAGACGAAGACGCGCGATGAGTTTGAGTTTGTGGACGAGACGGCGGTGAAGAATGAGAGTCAGCAGTACAATTCGCTGACCAGGCGTGCGGCTGGTGTTCCGATTCGGGATAATGTGCCAAATGTGCGCATTGAGAAGATGAAGCTTGAGGATGGCGTGAAGACGGTCAAGTTGACGATGATCAGTCCCAAATCCGAGACGACTAATGCGAAGCCCAAGTTCAAGATTGAATCTGCACAGGTGAATGACTTCAAGCGACTGAGGAGCAATGATAGTGAATTTGGTGATGTTAAGCCACAGAGTGTTGTCGTTCCGGAGACCAAGTCAAAGACCAAAGTGAGCGCTCAGTCGAGCGCGAAGCCCTCGGCCAGGGAGAAGAAGAGCCCATCGGATGGGAAGAGGCGGAATGCGGACGATGACAGTCCGGATGAGTTGTCGTGTTCGAAGAGTAGCACGAAAAAGTGTTACATTAACAGGAATAAGAAATCACAGCATGAACTGGAGAATGGTACAAAGCAGCCCAATCTGCCAACACTCAAAGTCGATTTGACGAGTCTTAAGACCAAAATTACTCTGCCCAAGGCGGAGAAATCGCCGGACTTGAAGCTTTCGGAGCGACCGAGGACGGAAATTGAGGAGACGAGTCCCAATAAGTACGAATATGTGAAGAACATTGGTCTCCTGCCGATCTCTGACGTGTTGGAGGCGAGAAAAGCCAAATCCGAGGCGGCCATTGTGCCGGTGAAGGAGAAGAAGCGCAAGAAGATGAAGCATTCGAAGGAGCCCAGTGAGAAACGTCCTAAACTGCATGCTGAGATGATCCCCAATGAGAAGGAACCCATCAAGCTGAAGCTGAAGTTTACTAACAGCAAACCTAGTAAGAATGAGAAGAAGACTCCGAATGGAACAGGAGAAATTCCCAAGATTTCCATCCCACTTCCTATTCCAATACAGCCGAAGACCTCTAAGGATTCCGTGGCTGAGATGAGGAAGGTGAGACACAAGTCACACTCATCAGTCAACACTGCTCTCAACAGAACACTGTCGGAACAGTCAGCGGCGATACAGAGTCTCGTGCGCCGCATGAGTGTGGATCTACCACAATTGCCCTACATTCCGCCGACTTCTAACAAATCAGTCAGTAGTCCTCCGCAACCCAAGCCTGCTCCAGTTCAAACCACCAAGCCAAGTCCACCGCAGAGTCCCAGAGTCAATTCCACGCAGGCTATGCATGTGAAGCCTGCAGCTCCTAAGGCCTATCCTGGCCTGCTCTCGCCCAAGGCTGCAGACCGGGGAAGTAGGTTCAGCTTCCCCATGACTTCGCCGACCTACAACGCCAGACCGGCGTCTTTTCCGCCATATCCTATGCCTCTGTCGCGACCCCTACCCCCGCCAAAGACAGCCACATCGACCTTCACTGCATCCAGTACAAAGCCCCTGGTCAGCGTCCTGAAGAGATCCTCGAGCCTAGACGCCTGTCCTGTGGCTCCGAAGCACGTGCGCATCGAAGAGCCGCCCGTCAGGACTCAGATGCCGCCTCTGAATCGCACCAACTCCTCCCCGCCAAAGTCTCCGGAAAAGTCGCCCTTCTACACCTCCACAATGAGTTCCACCTACACCCATGAGAACAACGTGAAGAAGCCCTTGCCGATGCTGCTGCCGCCATCTTCGATCAGTGTGACCAAGATGAGTGACGTGCCGAATGCTTCAGCGCCGGTGAGCAATGACAAGAGACCAGCTGTGGAGATTGTGAGGATCAATTCCAGCACGCCGGCTATTGATCAGCAGAAGATGCCGAGTCAGAAGACCATAAGACCACCGCCAGCCACAATTCCACTGGTGAAGATCAAGAAGTCAGCAGCCAACACTCCAACCGTGGCCGCCAAGCCAGCAACTTCGCCGCCAATTGTCAGTTCCACGACAACGCTCACGGTGAACAACAACAAGGTTCCGCCATTGAACATCTCAGTGGCGAATTTGAAGAGTCAAAGTGCTGAGAAGGACCGCGAAGGCGCCGGTCCTCCGATGTGTGACAACATTGGCGCTCTGGATCTGTCTGGCAAGTCCAGCAGGAGTCCAAGTTTGGAGAAGAGTCCGACCGCGTTCAGTGCTGAGGAGAAATTGCCTCCGAGCAGCAAGAAGGCGAGTGAGGAGACCAAAGCAACAGTGCCGAGCAAGCCTTGTCCGCTGCCAATGCCCAAGCTCAATGAGATCACGAAAGTGCGGCCGCCGAGCACAACGGCCCTGATGCGACAGCAGAATCCCTCAGTTCGAAGCATTCCAAATCCTTCGGCACTGGCGTTTAGGAACCAAGTTCTACCTGTACCTCCGGAGAGCAAGACGCCCAAGAGCACAGTCGCGCCTCTCCAATCTACCTCAGTGACCAACTCTGTTGCCAACACAGTGACGTCGGAGAAGCCAAAGGTGACCACTCCGGATCTCGTGGCAAGCACCAAGACTCCCATCGTGAGTCACAAGCCGGCGCCGAAGCTGGAGACGCCCGAGGTGGTGAGTATCAAGAAGAACACCATCGAGCAGGTCGCCGCCACCTTGAGAGCTGCAGCCGGAGATCCGCTCACCAAGGTAACCAAATTGAATTAGAGAGTCTTGATATTTCGTCGGCATTGTCAGTATTTACGCTGTTTGCATTTTGACAGGATTGACAATTAAAATGAATTGAATCTTAGTTGCTGTGAAGAACTTATCGACACTTATCGATAGGAATTGCGTGAAATTTAGTTGAGATCAACAGTCTGAGGACTAATTAGTCTTTATCAGTCCTTTTTACCCTTAAAATGTGGTTAAAAACAAGGAAATTACAAGGATTGCGTATCGATAAGTGTCGATATGTTCAGTAACTTACCGACACTTCAACATAGTGGAGAATTTTCACACTAAATAGGACTAAATAGTCCTTAAATGGTTGATTTTAACTATTTTTCCCTGATCTTGTATTAAAATTCGGTCTAAATTCATTGTCGATAACTTGTTTGTCGATAACTTTAGACAAATTACAGAGAAAAGAAGTCTTATTATATCTTCTTTCGTGACATCTGTAAGTATTACTTTGATTTGCTTTACATCATTAATTAAATTGAGCATTCAATATGGCAGTTTTGCAAATTTGAGCGTGTAAAACTGCCTTTACAATATAAGACATTTAAATACTTCCTTTCGTCGACTTCTTGGCGGTGTAAATGCTGATAATGTCGATCTTAAATCCTTTGGATATTACTAGTAAAGTTAACATACGATGATTTCCTTTTAAGAGAGAGAGAAAAAAAATCATACAAATTATTATTGATAAAAGGTAGATTTAGAGAAAAAAAAATCTTTAGAAGAATATAAAATGATATTTATTACAAAGTGAGAAAATGACGTGTAATGAAGCACAGACCTCAAGTAATTAAGTGAATTGTAATGAAGATTTGCTATCGGTTGGTTTTGTGAACGCTCGCGAGCGTTGATTTGGGATGCAAGTTGGAGATGTACATAATCACTAAATTATTGGCTATTGTATTGTAATTTACCGCGAGACGCTCGCGCGGTGGGAAGGCAGAAGAAGAGGATCAGGAGAAATTGGAGAAAGAAAAAGAGACAGAAAAGTGTGCACGCTGAATTGCATATGAGTTCACGGAGGAAAAGTAATTAGAGTGAAGTATCTGAAAAGGTGTTAAGAGTCTCGATGCTTCTGAATTTATAAATACCTGTCCCAATTGGACACTACTGGCTAATTATACAACATGTAGTGTTTGCTATCTACACGGGCCACGTACCTAATGTACAGTGAGTGTGTCCCTCATAGTGAATTCCACATAGAATGCTTGGCTTGTGGAAAATTGTATGTATAGAGAGAGAAAACCCGCAGAGTTGCTCGTTCGTGTCGCTCTTCTGTGTGTCAATTTAAGCGGGACACTCGGAGTGAAATGTCGTCGTTGTGTGTCAACACGTAATGAATGAATTCAATTCACCGTCATACGGTTTGTGCTAAATTTAATTTTACATTATGTACAAAAACCTCCTCCATGTGCCGTTGAGAGAGATGCCCAACAAAAGGCCGCCAAGTACATTGGCGCGGAGATTTTTCCGCGACGACCCGCGATCACGAGCAACTGCTGCGGTTGCATTATTGTACATAACATCTCAATTAATTCCTACCTTATCACCATATCGATGGATTGGAACAATTTCTCAAGAATTTCACATATTTTCCGTCGTATAGCGAGGCTAAAGCACAAAGTTGTTTTATTTTATTTTATTTTTTTTGTTTATGATTCCCCCTTTATTTATTAACCTCCACTTTTTAGTGCAATATCAAGATGAGATGTATAAAAGATACAAATTAGGTTATCGGAGAGACGTGACTTCTCGTTCAGCGGGAATTCTGGTGAACGCGCGGAGATAAAAGAAATAATGCAGGAAGTTGGTGAGAAATTTAGAAAATGTCAACCATTTATTGCGGGTTTTTTTTTCAGCATTTGACACGCACTTAATGACTCGGAAAGCACTCAAAGAAATTACACTATGAGAAAAAGCACAAATTGGCAAGACAATTTGCGAAACAACATCGCTTGAATTGGTGCGAAATTTGCAGAGGGAAAGGTTAAGACAAGGGGCAGATAATATGCCTAAAATCTGTACACCATTCTGAGCAGAATCTTTAACACTTCCCAAGACACTTCTAGTCGTCTCAAAAGGCATTTTTTATCGCTTTTTAGACTCTTTCAACTGTTTTTTACGCTTATTTCTGACATATCAGAATCTAATTCGGGTTTTTCCGTCTCACGAGGTTTAAGTTCATCAAATACTTAGATTTAAGATTGTCTTAATGTTTCATGATTTGTCCAAGAACAGTTTCTGTCTTGATTTCCTAGTTTTGTCTTCGAAAAGCGCCAAGAAAACTTCTGATCAAATTGTGAGGTTATGAAAACTAACTTTAAAATCTTCTTGAACCAATTTAAAGTTTTTTCAATGCGGAAATGAGTAAATTTAAGGAATATCACAATGTTTCAACAGGATAATAAAGTAAAAACCGCGGAAATAACTAAGCAAAGAGACCAAAAGAGACATTTATCGAAGCTGAATGGCATTTTTGAGGTTATGTTTGACTTTAAAGCTGTTTTTACCTCCTGAAATTTAACCTATCTGAAGTTTTTCGAGCAGAAATGCTCAACTTTGCCAAGAAAAAGAGAAATATTCCCAGATTAAACACAATTTTGATGATTTCAAGGGTTATTTGAACACCCAGAATCTCTTTTAAAGGTTTTAAATCAATCACATAACCTAGAAATGCAATAAAATTGATTATTTCCAAGCAAAATAATTTAGAAAATGCCTCAATTTGATGAAACAGAAGCTTTTTCTTTGCAAATATTCAAAATATTCTACTCTTTCCAATCTTTAACACTTCCGTGAAGTTTTACACCTCTTCCAATCATAATATCTGCCCCTTGGATTACGCATAACAGTTAAAAAGAACGCAGAAATTGATATTCAGATGTAATTTTAGCTCATCAACAAGGTTCTTCATAAGCAGTGAACTTGTTTGCTTTCGATAATTTGTATTTTGGGTTCATTAATAGTGAAATGAGGTTCAAAAATAGATTCTCAATTAAGGTTCCATCATTTTGATGACTTCTTAAGACACCCAAATGCATTCCAATGACGTCGGTTTTGAACACACTTGAGTACATTTCATTTCAGTGTGATTTTTGGCTCCTCGAAAACAGACAAAATAAACACCTTTTTTTCCACCTTTCCGCGTGACACGTTGCGCCCCGAAGGAAGAGAGATGTTCTTCAATTTGCGGAGGCCAAACTCTGACGAGGGCAATTAAGGCGAGTGACGCACAAACGCCCACAGCGACGTTGGGTGGAAGTGGGCGGAAGTGGGCGCCCAGGCAGAGTGGGGTGGCTCTCAACCCTCCCCACGCACTGCATGGCGTATCAAACGTGGCAAAAGAGATCAAATGCGGAAAATCAACCCCTTTTATTATTGATTTTATTCGCGCGCCACATCAACAATTTATTCCTCCCGTGGCGTTTCACTTTAATAATTATGGAATATGTACGGCCGAGCGTGGAGAGGAGAGAAAAAAAGGGCGCGAGAGACGTGGAGAGAAACGAAAAATGATAAATTATTGTTGTATACCTTCACTTCCACGCCACACACATTCTCACATGGGCAATTTTATCGGTTTCGTGACCAACTCGGGCTCCTCAATCATAAATCTCAGTGTGGATTCTCTCGGCGAAAGAGCGTGCGATGGGGAAGAGAAGGAGAGATAGAGAGGAAGGTGGAAAAAAAGAAGATAATGATGTCCGGGGAATAAATGGGCAGCAGAAGAAGAAGAAGAAGGAGAAGAAGAAGAACGAAGAGGAGTTGAACAATAGGGATTCTAGTGTGTGTTTCGAGGGTTTTGTGTGGGAAAAAGAGGAAAAAAGAGATCATTTCGTGGGTGTCGGCTTTTTCACTGGTGAGGCGGAAGATTTGCTTTATGTGTCTCTCTTCTGACATCTCTCCCTTTTTTTCTTCCTCCTTCATCGCCGTGTTTCTTTTCGTCCGAGACATGACAAGGTACTTCTTCGATCGCCACCCCACACACGGTGCAAAGTGAATTCCTTCCCCACAGCCGCCAATTTACTTCATTATTTCACTCCAATCACCAAATTCAATCAATTAACGCCAAAAACGATTCGACAGATAAAATTGAAGTGCGAATGACTATCGAGATTTTTCCAAAATGCCATTAAATCTTTCTCTATTATGCTTCCAAAAAGCATTTACAGCTTGAATTTGAAAATAGTCACAATTCGAAGGGAAAATATATGTAATTAAGCGTGATTGCAATCATTTATTCTGCAATTATTTTGTTCTCTTCGTCTGAAATCACTTAAAATGACATTCAAAAGCTTCCAGGATTTTCTGAGTCATTTTTCCAATTCGAAGAATCCTTGTGACGTGAAATATGGGAAAAATGACGGGAAATTCTCATTGCGATTGTGAGAATTTCACCGCATGTTGTGGATTGTCTTAAATTACAACGAGCAACGCTTGACATTCATTTTCTTGAAGAATTGGGGAAAACCTAGGATAAATAGACAAGTGAATAGAAAACTATGAAGAGTCAAAATTGCATTTTTCAGGAAAACGACTTAATTTCACTGCGAAATTCGCCGTATTTTACCTCAAACATCTTCTAATGATTTCAATAAATGTTAATTTTTGCCATTTAATAATTATTTTGCAGATGTTTCAGTTGATTTTATTGGTATTTATTGGGATTTTGACTAAAATATGGCAAAGTTAATAGGATTAACAGAGAATATTAGTGTCTAACAGCCGATTTTTAATTAATTTTCTGATCATTTTATGGAAACAAGTTGAAAAAAATCAATTTTGAACACTTTTCATTAATTTTTAATCAATTATTGCTCTCTAATAATTATTTTGTGAATATTCCTGTTGTTTTTTTTGGTATTTTGTGGAATGGTAATTAAAATATGGCAAAATTAATGAAATAAACAGAGAATATTGGTGTCCAGAAGTTAATTTTTAATACATTTTGAGCACATTTTATCCAAACAAGTTGAAAGAAATCAATTTTTTAATACTTTTCATTACTTTTTTCAAGGTTCTGTATTGAAGAAGTTAAAAAAATGCCATATT